GAAAAGCTCCCTTTTCTGCATGTGATGGCCCTTGAAAGAGAGAGATTAACTGTCCAAAAGGAGGAAGTCATCCTTTATTAACTCTCTCACCTCCACTTTACTGAGATATCCATCAATAAATCATATCTACCCTAATTTCTCTCTATCTTCTCTGCCATTACCTTAACCCAGTCTACCATCATCTTGTAATGAAATGGAATTCTTACTGAGCTCTTTTGACCCCTTACTTTTGTACCTTGAAACCTATTTGGCACAGAGAATAGAGCAGACTTTAGTGTATGTCACTGCTCTTACAAAAACTCTGTAGTGGCTTTCCATTGCTTATAGAATAAAATACACAACTTCTTTACCATGGTATACATAGTCCAGTAATGATCCTGTCCTAGCCCATCTGTGTGTTCTCACCTTCTACCACTCTCTTTTTGCTCACTATACTCCCCATCCTTCTATTCCTCAAATGCTTTACCCTTAGTTCTGATTCAGGACATTGACAAACATGACCTAGAATCTCTACCTACAGTTTTCTTCTCTCTACTCAAATACAAAGTAGGTGTTCAATAAATATTTATTGAGAGGAAATTTAGTAGTCATTTCACTAGGATGTAAAGGTCTCAAAAAAGGCCCAATAAACACACTTTCCATGAATTTCTGTTTTTCTTGACATGCCACATCGGCAAAAATAGATTAGCTCCTTACTCTATAGCAGATACAGCAACAAACTCGAAATAACTTAAATGAGCCTAACACTGAAAATTTAAACTTTAGGAAGCCTAGATGGAAATGAAATGTGTAAGGGAAGAAACAGAAAAGACTATCAATAAGAACGCAGACAAGAACAATTTTAATAAAAATGAACTTCTGAAACAATAAAAACATGTTTCAAAGTAATAAGAAAAGCAACAGATTAAGATAAAATTGTCATTATATAGATGATGTGTACAAGATTACAAAAGAAAAACAGAAAACTGATATAACACTAAAAACCAGTTCTTACCCTTTTAGATTAAAAAAACCTCACTGACTACTGAGCCAGGCATGGCTCAGGTCATTAAGTATCTGCCTTCAGCTCAGGTCATGCTCCCAGTGTCCTGGGATGGAGTCCTATATTGGGCTCCTTGCTCATCGGGGAGCCTGCTTCTCCCTCTGCTGCTGCTTTCCTGCTTGCACACACACACTCTCTCTCAAAATCTTTAAAAAAATCACTGACTAAAATGGCCAGTTCACAAACGAGGAAATGAAAATAATAAAACAAGCATTTTATTAGGTACTTCCCATATGCTAGTCCTGAAGAAATAAACATGAAGATTCTATCTCTGTCAAACTGGAGTTATATCCTAATTGGGAAGGTAATTCTGTTTAGTCCTATAACTACCTAAGTAAAAAAGCTTAGTTTTCTAAAACTGAAGCTAAATATAATGATTTACATAAATCACCACAATTTACTTAAATCACTACATAATGATTTTCAATGCTTCACAATCACATTTGTGCATACTGATCACATTCAAATTGAGGAATTTAGACCATCTGTTGAATAAGACAGTATTCATTCAACAAGCATTTATAAGACACCTACTATATTCATAGGTTCTGAGGCTAAATGAGTAAAACAGACTAGGTCCTGGTCCTAGTCCACAGTCTACCAGGGAAGGAAGATATGTAAATAAATATTTTATCAATACTTTGATAAGTGCTAACGAAAAAAAATACACAAAAAACAAAATGCTATTATAAGGACAGAGGAGGTGATAAAAAGTCCTGCCTGAGAATGTCAGAGAACACTTATTGGAAGGAGGAAAAATGAGAGGAGAGTGATATTGCAAAGAAAATGACACAAAATAAAAAGGGGCAAAGGTAAAAAGTGTCTAACCTCTCCCAAAATTTACATATACTTTGACGTAGCTAAGGGCAGGCTGTGCACAGAGGTATAGCTGATTACTAGCTGCAAAGTGAGGCAGTCACTGGACCCTATAGGCCAGGGGTGCTTGTGAAAGCATCTGGACTTCAAGCAAGAGAGATCTGACCACATGTTGTATTTTTTTTAAAAAACTACTCAGAAAAAAAAAAAAAACTACTCAGAAAATCTATATGGAGAAATTATTAGAGTCTGGCACTAGACATAGAGAAACCATTCAGGAAGAAGAAGGATAAGGTTTAAAATAAAATTGAAAAGAAGATGGGATGTGAGTGATACTAAGAAGTCAGAAATAACAGAAGTTAATAATTAACTAATGGACATGTGAAAAAAGAGAGGAATGAATGTAAAATGGCCTCCTGGTCTGCACCTCAGGCAAAATGGTTATAGTGTTATTAACCAAACCTAGGATGGGGGAAAGAAGACAACATAACGTTTTGGAAGATGTTCAATTCCTTTCATAGTTAACAGAATTCAAATTTAAATAGTCATGAGGCACAGTCTTGCATTAATTAAAATAGAGTAAATTTTAAAAAATGGCTATAAACACTGCTGTGGGGTATTGGGGAAAAGATGTACTAATACATTGCTGCCCTACAACCTGGTGAAGTTGTTCTGAAAAGAAATTTGGCAACAAATAAAAAAGCCATAAAAATTACCATGTTCTTTGACCCAGAAACTTTTTGGAATATAGCCCAAGGATATAATTCAAAAGAAATACAAAACCTATTTGTATAAAGATGTTTATAGCTGTGCTATATATGACAGACAAAAACTGGAAACAGCCCAAATGCCAACAGTGAGGGAACGTTTAAGCAGACTTCGGTACATTAATGCAATGGGATATCTTATTGCTATTAAGAATGACAAATATGAGAACTATGTAGAAACAAAAAAGGGCAAAATAAAGCAATGAGTTAAAAATGCAGAACTCAAAATGATGCATGTAGAATGATTGTAACTATGTAAAATTATATCTGTATAACCAGGAGTACTGGAAAATACTACAGAGCTGGTAATTTAGAGTGCTGACATTTTTGTTATTGTTGGTTGAGTTGCTGGGAATGTTTATGTGTTTCAAGTTAGAATTCACTATATATTTAGTACAATCACATTAAGAAAGATAAATCTCCATTTTTTTCTAACACATAAAATTTTAAAAAGTGCTCATCAGTACCTTCCCTTTCCCTAAGTGATTTTCTCTAGTCTCTTGAGTCCTATTAGTTTTTGGATGTATGAGGAAGTGGACCCCACACATACTCCATGACCTCTTAACTTAATCAAATGCCACCCCTTATAGTCATTCATAGAACCATGTAACTTTCCTTGGTATTGTTCTAGTTTTAAGATCAGTTAATTAATGTCTATGTCTCCCCCATCATTTTGCATACTCCATGAGGGCAGAGAAAGTATCTGTTTTTGTTTATTATTACAATCCTAGTTCCTAATGTAATACCCAGAACATTGCAGTTAACTCAAGAAACATTTGTAGGATGAATAAATGATTAACCCTGTAGGTCATGTTACTGAGAGGGCATTGTCAGTTCCATGACAATACACTGATCAAATCATTAAAGAAAAAGGACAATCCAAAAGAATAACTACATGGGTTAAAAAGATAGTTACTGGCCTTGCTTTATTACGTATTATGAACTATGTATTAATAAAGTTCTATACATGCGGTTCTTATCCCTTAATTGTAACACATAAAATGAAATCAGCCTCTCCTCCATCACACACACACACACACACACACACACACACACACACACACACACAGTAACTTCAAAGATCAGTGAAAGTATGCAAAAGGAAACTAAGAGCTGCATTTGTGGATAGGGACCAAGGTCATGAAATTGTTGTGTTAAAAAAAGGGGAAGTTGCTCCTGAGAGAGAAGGGAAGAAATGAAAAAGGTGGGGGGAAAGGACTGGAGCTGAACTAAGGGCTTAGGGATACTTTGTAAAAAGGAAAATGCCTACGATTAAATTTTGGATTGTTAATGTTGTTACAGTGTTAATCCATGTGCCTTCCCAAACCTTTAGTGATGTCTGCTATGTTCATTGCCTTAGATTAAGACTAAGCCACCACAAAAGGGAGGGTAGAATTAAAGAGCCATCAAATCACAAGGGCCATCTTAGAGGTTGGCCAAGGTTTCCCTCCTCTGATAATTTCTGTTTGTACTTGTATAACATTTATCTAACCTCATTTGGAATGTGCACTTCATTGGTACTCATCTTTCAATTTTTCAGGAATAACTATAGCTATCTCAGAGTATGATAGGATTGCACATCATAGGTGCACCTTGGTGCATACTCTGTGCTCCAGGGGAACTTCTGACTCTCCCAACATCATAGTTTCGACCCTTTCTGCTCCAGTCACATCTCCACTTTAGGTCCTGGATTCAACATACAATTTCAGCCTACCTCCTACCATTCCCTCAGATGTTCCCTCCCATCCTGTATAACTGAATCTAACTTACTTGGATTCGATCTGGGCTGGCCCAGCAATAGGACTGGGCACAGAACATTTAACATAGTGACTCATCCATAACTAGTGCTTAAAGATGATTATTAGATTCAGTCAAAATCAATTAAACATGGTAACAATTCTCTAGGATATCTTCTAATGAATCTATCAGTTAAGTAATGCTTTCATCTACAAGTAGCATTAGTTTTTCCAAACTTTTTAGTCCAGCTATATTGGCCAGGGTTTTGTCAAGCTTTACTTTCTATAAGTGGTCATAAGAAAAAAGTAATAATATTTTGACTTTTTAAAAATAAAAATGTGATGAAATGCTATAATATTACATGCGCTTTTTAAGACAATGTAATCCCCTCCCACCTGCCCAGGAGATTGTGATATCCTTCCCCAGTCCCATTACCTTCTGCTGACTAAGGAAAGCCTGGAGAGATGCAAAATTCTTCTGCTGTTTGATGGAGAATCGCTGATTTAAAGCTGGGGAAGTTACTATGAAAAAGTCTCTCCATCCTTCTTAAGACCACAAATAACTTGGAAAAGTACAAATACATTAATTCATTATATTTATGAATAGTCTTACAAGAACTGCTAAAAAATATGACCTACCCATCTAGGAGGGCAATGACGTTCTTCCTGGGCCGCCCAATATTAGGGCCATACAAACTGGCTCTGGAGTAAATCCGGATGGGTTGCAACAGGCTCTTCAGCTGGATGTAATCCTTTCCCAACTGGCTGCCATTTACCGCCCGGCCATGCATGGTTCGATAGTTATTTGGCTCTAGATTAAAAGCAGACATGCAAGTCAGAGTTGAGAAGGGTAAGACTCTGCCAACCCTTTCCTGTCCACAGACTTTCTTCTTTTTTCTTAACAATGTGAATAAAATAACCAAAAAGAGAGTGTAAGCTAGTTTAACTTGAAGAACTATCATAACAAAAAGTTAAATGCCATTTTAGCATTCTACTCATTTTCAAACAATCTTCACATAAGATCACCTAATCCACAAGACAGAGATGTGCTGATTTTTGGGTGATACTTTATAAGGAATGGTTTACTGGACTGAATAGTGTCCCCCAAAGTTCACATCTACCTGTAACTTCAGAATGTGACCTTATTTGGAAATAGAGTCTTTGAAGATATAGTTAAGATGAGGTCATATGGGATTAGGACATGCCCTAAATCCAGTGACTGGTGTCTTTATAAAAGAATGAATGGCAAGGGGTGCTTGGGTGGCTCAGTGGATTAAGCCTCTGCCTTTGGCTCAGGTCATGATCTCAGGGTCCTAGGATAGAGCCCCGTGTCAGGCTCTCTGCTCAGCAGGGAGCCTGCTTCTCGCTTTCCCTCTGCCTGGCTCTCTGCCTACCTGTCTCTCTCTCTCTCTCTCTCTGTGTGTGTGTGTGTGTGTGTGTGTCAAATAAATAAATAAATAAAATCTTTAAAAAAAAAAAGAATGAATGGAGAGGGAAATTCAGGTACACAGACACACTGGGAAGAGGGCCATGTGTCGACAGATGCAAAGATTGGAGGGTTGCTGCTATGCCAAGGATTGCTGGCAGCAGCTACTAAAAGCTAAGAAAGAGACAGAATAGATTCTCCCTTAGAGTCTCCAGAAGGAATCAACACTGGCAATGCTCTGATTTCTGGCTTCTGGTTCCCTGAACTGTGAGAGAATACATTTCTGTTGTTTTACACCACCGAGCTTACAGTAATTTTTTATGAACAGGCTTAGGAAACTGATACAAATGGTAACAAAGACAGCTTTATAAAGATGGCCATTGTATCAAAAAGAAAAAAGTCTTCATGTTCAATAACAAAGTGGCTGGGTGAAATAATTTAGAGCACAACACCCTCCCTCAGTTTCTATTAACTTGGTACTTCTAAAAGAACAAAGAAAGTCCTAAAAACCAGCAACTCCACTGCTGGAGGGAGCTAACTTGATTTGGAATTAAGCACATGCTCCAGTAAGGCCAATACCTTGGATACCTTAAGATTTTGATACTGGTAGTGCAGCAGACTTTCAGGAAATTTAACAGGGAGATTTAGGGAATAAGTCAGTCTCAGTGGGCCTTGATAAGCTCACACATATGATATCGCTTTTACCACTGTGTCTCCTGACTTAAAAATAGTTTATCTGGAGTTAATGTTACTCCCTTCACCATATTCTACATGGTTTCCTCAATGTAAAATATCCAGCACATGCAGGAACACATCTCTGCATGTGACCAGACCCACTAATTAAGTATAAGTAACTCAGTTACTGCAGTCTCAGATGGACAGCCTCACTATTGCAGATCTGTAATTTAAATGCATACCCCTTGTAGTCTGGAAGGCTGTGTATGCTCTGGAGAGACTGGAGAGGGCACTAACTATCCATGTACTTGCAGATGATTGTGAAACAGCACATTTATAAAGGAGACATGAGAAGGCATGCCAGAAAGGAGAAGCCCGTGAGAATTAGAAACTGTTTGAATTTGGAATATGTTCTCCAAATCACACACAGATCCATTTGCAAAAGATGGAAGCCTTACTGGTGCAAGGTAAGCACAACCTCTAATCAAACATTGTCTCACTGTTAAGCTATGCTGACTCAGGGACAACCTTTAGGAAGCTGGTCTTAAGAAATGATTTAAAAAAAATAGAAAAACTTAAGATACATCAGCAGCTACACAATGCAAGAGAGACAGACTTTACAGAGTTATTCCATGTAAATTGCTAAACAAACAAAAAAGAAACAACAAAACAACTTCTGGGATGGAGGATTCAGAATCCAGAGTTGTTCCAACATATTAGAATGTATAGTTTTCAACAAACTATACAAATGGCCAAAATTTGTTAGAATGTATAGTTTTCAACAAGAACAAAAATCACAGCATGAAAAGAAATAAGATAGTGTGATCCATAAACAAATAAAAAAGCGGTCAATAGAAACTATCTCCTAAGGGACCCAAATGTTAGACTTCATGGGTAAGGAATTAAAAACTACTATTATAAAGATGTTCAAAGAACTAACAGGAATAATACAAAATTAAAGGAAAGTATGATTGAAGAGACAGAGTTTATAAAAAAAGTTTTCAAATGGAAATCTTGGAACTAAAATGACTTTTCACATATAGAGGAACACAAGGAAATTATCAGCTGAATTTTTACCAGAAATAATGGAGGCCAGAAGACTGTAGGATGACATACTCAAAATGCTAAATTAAAAAAAAAAAAGTCAGCCAAGAACTCTATATGTAGCAATCTATCCTTCAAAACTGAAAGCACAATTTAAACCTTAACCAGAAAAACAAAGGACAGAATTTGATGTGAGAAAATCTGCCTTACAAGAAATGAGAAATGGACACTTTCAGGTTGAAAGGAAATGACACCAGATGGTGACTCAAAATGACACAAAGGAATAGAGAACACCAGTAATGGCAATTGCACAGGTAAATATAAAAGACAGTTGAAAATATCCATTACTCTTTTCTTAACTAATTTAAATAACAGTTACATAAAACAGAAATTATAAAACTGTGTTACTGGGCTTATGATACATGAAAACATAATATTTAGAATAATAAAGGCACAAAGGAGGGGGAAATTGAGTTCTATCAGAGCAAAGTTTCTGTAGTTACCTGGAATTAAGTTAGTATTATTCTAAAGTAGATTGTAATGAGTTCTGATGTGTTACAATAAGAAACTACTATGAAAATAAAAAAAATGAAATAAAAACAAAGAAATTAAAATAATATTTTAGACAGTATCTTCTCTGAATAAAAAGGTAGTACAGGAGAAACAGGAACAAAAAATGAAATAAATGGAAAAACACCAAGATGGCAAATATAAATTCAACCATATCAACAATTACATTAAATGTAAATGGATTGAACACTCCAATTAAAAGCAGAAATTTTCAGGTTGAATAAAAATCTAAGATCCAATTAAAGAGAAAGACTTTAAAATAAAAGACACAAATAGGTTGAAAGCAAAGGATGAAGAAAATATGCTATTGAAACATGTAACCATAAGAGAGTTGGAATGACTATACTAATACCAGATAAAATAGACTTTTTAAGGCAACAATGTTTAAAACAACAATGTTACTAGGATAATGCAGGGCATTTTATAATGATAAAGGGACAATTTTTAGGAAGATATAACAACTATAAACATAGACATACCAACAACAGAATACCTGAAGCATAATTAAAGAGAAAAATAGAAAATCCAGCAATAATTGGAGACTTCAATACCACATTCTCAGTAACTAATAGAGCAACTAGACAGAAAATTAGCATTGATATAGAAAACATGAAAAACACTATCAGCTAAACTGACCTAATTGATATCTATACAACACTCCACCCAAAACAGTAGAGTATTCATTACTTTTTTTTTTTTTTTTTTTGACAGAGAGAGAGAGAGAGAGAGAGAGATCACAAGTAGGCAGAGAGAGAGGAAGGGAAGCAGGCTCCCTGCCCAGCAGAGAGCCCGATGTGGGGCTCGATCCCAGGACCCTGGGATCATGACCCGAGCTGAAGGCAGAGGCTTTAACCCACTGAGCCACCCAGGTGCCCGAGTATTCATTACTTTTTTTAGTGCATATAGAATGTCCTTCAGGTCACACCATATGGTAAGACATAAAACAAGTCTCATCTATTTAAAAGGATTAAATTATATAATGTATGTGCCCTGACTACAACAGAATTAAAAGAGAATTCAACAGAAAGAAATTTGAGAATCTATAAATATTTGGAAGTTAAACAAATAATCCATGAGTCAAAGAAGAAATCACAAGGGGAATTAGAAAATATTTTTAATGAAATTAAAATGAAAGTATAATGTGTAAAAACATATGGGATGACACCAAAGGCACAATCCATGAAAGAAATAATTGATGAACTGGACTTCATTAAAATTAAAAGCATTTGCTCTGCAAAAGACAATGTTATGAGAATGAGAAGACAAGACACAAACTGGGAGAAAATACTTGTGAAAGATATATCTGATAAACAACTGTTACCCAAAATACACAAAGAACTCTTAAAATTTAGAAACAAGCAACCTGATTTAAAAATGGGACAAAGATTTCAGTAGATACCTCACCAAAGGAGATACACAAATGGCAAATAAAAATATGAAAAGATACAAAAAATGAGAGAAGATGTTCCACATATGTTATCAGGGAAATGCAAATTAAAACAACAATTAAGGATGCCTGGGTGGCTGTTTGGGCATCTGCCTTCAGCTCAGATCATGATCCCTGGGTCCTGGGATCAAGTAACCACATCGGGCTCTCAGCTAAGTAGAGTCTGTTTCTCCCTCTACACATCCCCCTCTGCTCATGCTCTTTCTCTCTCACTTACTCTCTCTGTCTCAAGTAAATAAATTTTTTAAAAATCCTAAAAAAATAACAAAAACAACAACAATTAAGCACCATACATGCCTATATGAATGGCCAAAATTTGTTAACATTGGCAGCACCAAAAGCTAGGTAGAATGTGGGGCAAGAGGAATGCTCATTCATTGCTGGCAGGAATGAAAAATGATATGGTCACTTTGGAAGAATTTGGTGGTTTCTTACAAAACAAAACATATTCTTACTATATGATGCAGCAATTGTACTCCCTGTTATTTATGCAAAGGAGCTGAAATCTTATGTCCTCACTTTTGACTACACATGAATTTACAGCAGCTGTATTCATAATTGCCACAACGTGGAAGAATGAAGATGTCCTTCAGTAGATGAGTGGATAAATGAACTGTGGTACATCTACACAATGGATAATTATTTAGCA